ATTTTATCGATGTTTTGTTTATGACCCAGAGGTTTGCTATCGGAATATATACATACCTAGGTGCCCTACAGCGTTTTCTTGAGCATATTTGTTATTGTACCTATAACAGTTGCTGCCTGTTGCCTCTTTATGGCAGAAAAAAAAAACTCGCCACCGTAATCTCATTTCTCAAAAGCTGAGTCGAAGCACACCCTGTGCTCATGTCTGTCGCCCGAATGTGATCAGTCAGATGTCACAAGCGTTATCAAAGTAGATAGCATGGTCACCCCGAGAAAGTTTAAGTGGCACGGTAAAATTACCAATAATCTGAACTGCCCCTTGTGACGACCAGGTCCCATCCGACAGACCCCACACCCTATCCGAGCGGCGGCGACCATCGGGACTTGTCTCCCTTCCCCAGCAGGGCCATTCTAACCCCTTAGCCATCTATCCACCCCACTCAGTCGAAGGGAGAGGGACGAACACTCCAATAACAAGCCGTCTCTCCCCGAACGCTTGTAACAATGATCGTCTTGGTGGGGTGCAGATTCGGGTGATTCGGAGAGCGTAGGAAAGTGAACATTCAGCAATCAGTCTATGCTTCTGAGATAGACCGAAATAGATCTCTCTCTCTCTCTCTCTCTCTCTCTCTCTCTCTCTCTCCTCTCTCTCTCTCTCTCTCTCAGCTCTTTTTCTCTCTCCCCTCTCTGTGCATCAACTGTCGACAGTCGTCAAGAGTGAATTTCATTCAGATTGCAATTAGCTAATTAGCTGACTTCAGTCTTTCTTCGACGGAGCGCACTAATTGATTAGGATAGGATTGAACGGGGCTTACTGAATCTTAACTATTTCAATTATTCTCAGTTCTAGGATGTAATGTCTTGTCAAACCTAGTGCTCTTACTTTCCACCATGACTCTGATGCAATGCATTCCTCTAATACCCTGTCACTTCTCCATAGCATGTCTTCTTTTTTTCTTGTTGGTATCTGCCATCTTGACGTCAGACTTTATTTTTCAGCCGCCGAAAAATATTCATAGCATTCGTACAAAACGTTTCAAAGTGCTTTTGTAATCTGGATAATTATATTAGTCGTTTTCACGACGGGCTATCTGGAAAATGCACCAAAATTGACCAAAGCTGCACCAACTCTCTTTTGCAGCACATATACCTATTCATGTCATGAATGTATTTCAGTGTTTTGATAGAAAACAATGTCTCATAATATAATTTGAAAATCAGGTAGGTATATAAGCAGCTGTGCAACCGAAACTGATAACTTCTAAGAAACACAATGAACCTAATTTGACCAAGCTGCACCAAATCTACACCAAATGTGCACCAAATGCGTACCAGATAGCCGTCGTGAAAACGGCTATTATAAAAACAAGCTAGTTCATTTATGTGGTGCAGAATACGGGAGACAAAGGAGCAATGCGGAGACAACTATTGAGCGCGAAATGTCCAGTATAACGCTGTCGATAAATCCAATCAACTCCCCTGTGTTACGATTTATGATTTGAAAATGGTCACCGGAACGAGCGCTGGCGGCTGGGAAGTGACCAGGCCAAGATTTGTCGCCGTCCTGACTCATATATTGGCGCGCTGCGCACCTCCATTCTAGGTGGTCTATATTGTCTCGTATGCGCCGGAAATGAATAATCTCCTCGGGCGGACAGGGAACGCGCCGAACAGACGATAATTATCACTCGGCCCTAGAATGATATTGGCCCGTATCTGAGTACGGGGAGCGAAATGAGTGGACGATTATTATCCACGGGTCATCGAGCGACCAGGAGCGGAGAGACATGTATGAAGGCCCATGCTTTTCAAATAAAGGGAACGATTTTCTTTAACACCACGAAGCTGAGGATGTTGCGATCAGGATATTTAGTGGTTTCTGAACCTGGCCGCCAACTTGGCTATCTCAACTCAGAACTAATCCAAAGGTGGCACAGTCCCTTTAAATCATTGTCTGTCAATCAGTAAAAATTCCAGCACCAGGCCTGTTCCTGATACATGTGCGATATTACGAATATGTTCCAGAATATTTCGGTAATTGCTTTGAGTTTATTTCCTTTCACAACTAGGAAAACTTGTTAACTTCAAAACTCTTGTAAACATAGACAAAAAGTGGTGCTGGGAGCTGTTCGTAGGCAAAAGTTAGAAAAAAAAATTGTTCGAACGGTGTGAAAGATAAAACTCTTAACCTCAATAGATTTGGTTCAATAAACAACCACATGGCCTGGGACAACAATTTTACATCAGTCATCCTTTTTCCCACTTATAGGTATGCAAAGTCACACGTGTCGTAGAATCAATCAGTCCGATGGCATCCCTGCGGTGTTGTGGGGTAGTAAGACCAAGATTTCTTTACCTATTGTACATAAAGTAACGTACGGCAGTAAAGCAAGCAAGAGTTCGACGGTCACCTACCCTTCCTTTGTCCCGCCGCTGCACTGCACTGGGACGCAAGGGGCTGGGATGGGGCCGATAGCGCCCGTTTCGGCAGTCCATTTCTGGGCTGTAAAATCGGGGCGAAGCGGGCCCCCGAACTCCCGCTACGGAGGCGGGCTGGAGCTCACTGGTGGGCGACTCTAATCTGGAGGATGTCTCCCCCGGGAGAGCTGCTGATCGGAGTCGGGGGCGGGGATTCGAAAATATCTGAGAGCGAGAGTGAGAGGGGGAGAGGGGTACGAAAATATCGGAGAGGGAGAGTGGGAGAGAGTGGAAGGAAATATCGGAGAGGGAGAGTGGGAAGGAAAGAGCGAGAGAAAGAGAGAGAGAGAGGAGGTGTGAAAGGAATCGGAGAGGGATAGTGGGAAGGAGAGAGCAAGAGAGAGAGAGGAAAAATCTGAGAGGGAAGGAAAGAGAAATAGAGAGAGAGAGAGGGAGAGAGAGAGAGAAAGAAAGAAAGAAAGAAAGAAAGAGAGAGAGAAATAGATTGGAAGAGAATACCGAGAGGTTGGAAGAGGTAGGTAATTGTTTCCGGCAGGCCCAAAATACACCTACCATCTGGCATCTGCAGTGCTACATTATCAGCACAGATCTGAATAAGTCAATTGTTTCATTTTTCATGGACCAAGATTTTCCTCAGATAATTGACATTCAATTGAAATTCCATCGAGACATCAGCCTCGCTTCCATCCGATGACTAATGGGGAACGCATCCAATGAAAATAACTGCGCTGCATGCAATAGCTTGAGGAAGTGAGGCCAATGTAATGGTATGGCCTGGATCCTGACAGTGGGCGCTATTAATGTCTCTCGGATGATATGCGGATGACAGAGCCGGATGCTCGTTATTCTCTGTCGTCTCAGGGAGGATGAGAATCAAAACCGAAACGGACGGAGCTGAGCGATGCTGGCTGAGAAATGTAGAACGCTGTGCTGACTGTATTAACCCTATTAGTGGCAGGGGGGGGGGGTTGTTTTCATCCACCCCTCAGGTTTTTCGGAAATATCTCCGAAACCGCTGAAGCTACGATGCTGAAATTTTCTGACTTTTCCCAAAACTAAATGGGGCACATTCCCTGAAAATTTCAAGTTCATAACTTTACCAGGAGCGGCTCCAGAGCACTGGGAATTGGGGGGTCCTATTCTTGAAGCGAGTCATTTGGGCGAAGATCACGATGCTGCACCAGTTTTACGAACAGTGAATGAAAGGTATCATGTGATAACATATACAGTTATTGTGCATCCTCTTTTGACACGTTTTTGCTATAATAGGCGGATCCAGGCGTCCAAAAAGGGGGGTTATGTTTTACCTACCAACATAGGTGCCCTGACACCGCCTATGCATGACCAATACAATTGTAGTCGTTCTCTCATAAAAAAATTGTAACATAACAAGACCATTACCACCCTTTTTAGAAACAGTACCAACAAAAACCTTATTTACTATACTTTTTGTGTACCCCCAATCTCAATGATCTGTATCCGCCTATGATTTTTGCAAATGCATATTTTTAGGATCCATGTGAATTCCTGTTTCATTCTCTATCGATCGGCAAAAGTTGCGCTAAGATTGGTTCAGAAACCTGGCCGTGACAAACAGTCTAAAATGTATCTGCAATTTGCCCGTTTTTACCCCCCTCTACCCCCCTATTGACATTTTTTAATTTTTATTTTTTAGAAATGTAGATCACGTTGAGCGAAATCGAATGCCGTTTGAATTTTGAAAATCGGCCCGTTAGATCTCGAGATATCAGGGGGGGGGGTCGTAAACAGCCCCCCCCCCCCCCTGCCACTATAATAGGGGTAGCCAGGAGCCTGCCACTAATAGGGTTAATGAAAAATACTTTCGCCCAAACCTATTTATAGTCACCATGAGTGACCAATGTCATCGTTGATGAAATGAAAAACACAAGGCGACTATGCTTCGAATACATAGCTACACAAAACAAACTCTGACAGACGCATGAACATCGTATCTTCTGTTCTGATTGTCGGAAAGTCAACGAAAAATATAGGAAAGGTGTAGGCAAAACTCTCGCTGAGAAGTACAACTCCATGCATTTTTCACTCCTAAGATCAGGGCGATACCATATACCATCCACATCATAATCCCGGCCACTTGTCTTCTCGATCACATAGACTAGCCATTCCACATCCCTGCTCACATTTCCTTGTCCTGACTGACCAACATTGTCGGTCACGGATCGCCGTACCCTATAGGTCACGGGTCACTCCAGCTCAACACTCATCAGTGAAGGGCTATCCCGAAAGGGACGACACTTTCTCATGGTGACCATTTGAGTGCCTTGGTGACTAGTCACGCCGGAACAATAGCGCCGCAGCGGGACAGTCTCAGCTACCGCGGCGCACCAGTGCAGTCCGTCATCCGTGAGTAGAAAGGGGAAAATGTCCAACACGAGACGTCGGATCGTGCAGTGGCTAGCGCATCTGCTGCCACCTACTATGACCTGCCTGCCACCTAGCGACAGCCGTCAGAAGCACCGGCCGCCTTACCTGGCGAGCGGCCGGCATAGAGAGGTGAGTGAACCTTGTAGCCGGCGGCTACGGCCAGCCGCCGCTGCTCTCCGGAGCGTCAGGAGAGGAGGCGAGGTCGACTGCCCACCGCAGTCGGATGCTGCACTCGGCAGAGATGTGCTCCTCTCTGGCTGTGATTTTATCCGTGGTTGTGGTGTGCTGTAGTGCCGGCATTGTGCCACCGAAATCGTGGAATAATGCTACGATCGGAAAAGGTGAGGGCATCTGTGTTATATTTTACATAGTGTTACAATGGATTAGGGGGATAAAAAATGTATCGTCTTTCACATTTCATTACTCATAACTGCATACAACTAACGGATAAGCAATGTAAAAATGTCCATACAAAATGGCAAATATCAATCGTAAGCTGTCACACATGTAAACGGTCAACAAGCCATGGTTCATCGGTCATCAGTCGTTTTTAACCTCGTCGCTATGGACCAGTTCGTCCTAAAATTCATCATAGCTCCACTATCTTGGGCTGGCTGGTGGTCTCAATAGTCAATATCCACATTGACATAGGAACAAGTGAGGGCAGCTACAGTAAGTAAGAGCACCTCTCCGAGATGACCGTTTGAGCGGCGAAGGCGGTCTTTCCATTTGAAGCACGTTCGTCCCAACTCATCAACTCAAACTACGGCACACAACAGCCGATGATTAAATCAATGTCTTCACCTTATTCATTTAACTGCCCTGAAACGTTAAATACACCGGAAGGGCCTGACTGCAGTGAACGAACAGAGCAAACAAAAGACGTACTTACCTACCGTGAATCGGGAATTGCCATGACTCGTGAATTTTATGTTGCAATTTACGAGATGGCTACAGAATATGAAATCGACGAATGAATTATGTCTAGCACTAACCACTCTATACAGATAATATATGTATAGTTCTATGCTCTTTGGCATAAGATAAAATAACGATTCATTTTTGATAAGCATAAACAGCGGGCTATATGCAAAACAAATCGTACATATTAACCCTCGCACGACCAGGCCATTTCTCATAACACGAACGACCAGGGGGGGGGGGGGGTTGTTACGACCCCCCCCCCCCTGGCGTTTCGAAACGGAAGGTCGTAGAGCTTAGCGGAAAAAACCAACGGATTGCTCTCAACGAGATCTCGCGATTGGTGGTATATTTTTTGGTCCTAGGTCAACATTTGACCTACTTATGACCGGTCAAAGGTCAAATTTTCCGAAAAAATCAAACTTTTTCAACTTTCCGCGGCGATTGCGGCAAAACGGTGGGAGATATCGACTTGAAACCTTCACTATCGTGTTCCTTGATCAATTCTCTATCGTTTGGTATGTATTTCGTTTCCCTAGCTCTAAAAATGGCGCGTTGGGAGCGCCGGAAGTCGGCAAGGTCACAGTCGGCGGCAGAAATTCGAAAAATCAAAATTTAAATTTTTGAAATCTGATTGTATTTTTGGATTTGGGAGGTCCATTTGCTCCCTATAGAAGCTAATATTGCTGCATATTCCCATTGAGGTGACAAGAATTAGCAAAATAGTGGTTCGGGCGCTTTTCAAAAATAGTACCGGACGCTGTTCCTCTTGTGACGTCATAGCTCCGTGACCTGACCTGACCCGGTCAATTTTCTTGCACCACACGATAGCCAATGCTTGCCCCAACATGCATGGGAAGTTTCATCATGATCCATCAAACAATGTGGGTATCACCGGCAGAAAACCTAGGGATTCGGCGCACACGTTTGGTAACTGTCGGCCGGAGGCTGTACCTCTTATGACGTCATAACTCCGTGACCTGACATGACCCGATCAATTTTTTTCGGCAAAAGATGCGCAAAGGTTGCCCCAGAGGGTATTGAAAATTTCAGCCCGCTACGACAAGCCGTTTAGCGTGCACTTCGAAAAAACCTCAGGGGGGGGGGGGGTTGATACAACCCCCCCCCCTAGGCGTTCTAGGGTTAACCTTTCAGGCGGTGGGGGGCATTTTTTTGCCCCCCCTTTAGTTTTTTCGATATATCTCGAGAACCGCTGCGCCGATCGTCACCAAACTTTCAGTACCCTCCCGGGAGTAGCTAGCGCACATGGTGACCAAATATTTTTCCAAAGGCTATGATAGGTTGGCCGCTAATGACGTCAGAGTGACGTCATTTCTGCCATTTTCGACCAAAAAAAGGTTTCGCGGGAAGAGCTGTCAGGCCTACAGCTTTAGAGATACAGAAAAATGTTTCAGACATAAAAGGTGTGGAATCAAGAGGGCTACAAAACTGCTATTTCGGTGTTTCATATTTTTTGGATTTTGACCCCAAAAAATAAAAAAAATAGATTTTTTGAATATAATAGCCGAAAAATCCAATAAGTTTTTTGAATTTCGAAAAAACGGAATATATGTGATAGTCCCTACCGCTTGCTATCTTCATACCAAATTTGAGATCGATACCTTTTTTTGGGCCAAGTTATAGCGAAAAAACTGTTCAAAATTGATGACGTAAAATTTTCAAACTCAATTTCTAGAAAATCTAGACCTCGTAGCGCAAAACAAAGACCACCATTAGACTCCCCGTGACGAGCTGCATCGAATCAATACCCATTTTATGCAAAAATATCAACTTTGAAATTTGACCTTCTTGACCTGACCTTGACCTGACCTCCACCAGAAAGTAACCTAAACCGTACCTGATGGTCTTATAACCAAAACCATTGAGTTGGAAATAAAAAACTGGCCATAAAACATGCATCGCACAACCTTAGTAAAGTTGGGTTCATGTGGTGACCCTTGGTGACCTTTAGTGACCTGACCTGTGACCTGACCTGGTATTACCAGTGACCTCTAATAGCAACATATGTACTAGACAACTGACGCCTTATCGCTGATTTTCGACAAAATGCGTTTTTCTCGGTGTTATAGCGCTTTCCCTAGAAGCCCCGTGAGCGGTGAAACATTTTATCTTTGACCTGACCTGTGACGTCGTCGGTGACCCCGAGGTCAATGAAATTTGGCTTCCTTCAACAAATTTGACAGGGCTATCGAAAGCCGTTTGAATTTTCCGGATCCGTCAAGTAGTTTCGGAGATACGGGGGGGGGCAAAAAAATGCCCCCCCCCCACCGCGCGGAAGGTGGCCGGGAGGCCCACCGCCTGCCGGGTTAAAATGTACGCTTACGCAACTTTATCAAGCCAATTCGTTATTTCAGACATCATCGAGCCCGGCAGGAAATACGTGCCGACCAAGAAACCGGAGCACCAGAGATCTCTGCAGCTGGTGCTGTTAGCCACGAAGACGAACGCGACATTGCACGTGGACGGAAAATTGGTGAGTGCTGCTGGTGCTCAGTAACGATACAAAATTTGTACGTGTTACCGTTAACATAAAAACAAAACATTGGCAAAATCCCTTTGGCAGAAATATATTGGTTGATGGAAAGTTTGCACTGCTGATGCTAAATAACTATGAGCAAAAATGTGGTCAGACTGTAAAGTGATTACTCATATATTACATAGACGTTAGAAGACGGTGAAATTTGTTTGTGCCGCTGGCGACACAGGTGGGTGAAAAATTGGTCGCTGTTAACCCTCGCCCATGTAGGGGGGGGGGGGGGGTTGGTGCAACCCCCCCCCCCTGAGGTTTTTCTTAGCTACACGCCGAACCGTTTCAGATAGCCTGCTCAAATTTTCAGTACCCTTTGGGGCATCCTTTGCGCAACTTTTGATAATTTTTTTTTGTCAAGGTCATGTCAGGTCACGGAGTTATGACGTCATAAAGGGAACAACCTCCGGCCAGATTTACGCTAAATTGGAGATTGCTTCACGTTGGTATAAATGCCGACTGACCTGACGCACTGATGGATTGTTTTAGAATCACAACTGGCTGATTTGACATTGACACAATGTCCGTTGACATTTTGAAGGTCACTAAAGGTCAAGGTAAGGTCAGTGACCTCGGTTGACCTGTAATGACTTCTTGCACTTGTATGCCTTTTCGGGGTATTTTGATGCCCTGAATTCGAATTTGCTATCCATTTCAGGCATCGTCGGTTGTTTCTTGTAGTTCATTTTGGGTCAGGGTCAGGTCAGTGACGTCACACGCCTGACGTGACTCAATGCACAAATGACCTTGCAGACTTCCGATGCTCCCAACGCATCATTTTTAGAGTTATGACATCGAAATACACACCAAACGATAGAGAATTGATCAAGGATCACGATAGTGAGGGTTTCAAGTCGATATCTCTTACCGTTTTGCCGCAATCGGCGCGGAAATCTGAAAAAGTTAGATTTTTCCGAAAATTTGACCTTTGACCGGTCATAAGTAGGTCAAATGGTGACCTAGGACCAAAAAATATACCACCAATCGCGAGATCTCGTTGAGAGCAATCCGTTGGTCTTTTCCGCTAAGCTCTACGACGCTTCGTTTTCAAACGCCAGGGGGGGTCGCACCAACCCCCCCCCCTGCATGGGCGAAGGTGGCAAAACACCGTTTACGGGCGAGGGTTAAGTGTCGCTGAATCCGCATATGAACGACTTTTGGCGTGTTCACCGTCCAATCCTGATTTAAGTTTTCAAAACGATTCTGTGTCTAAATCTTGTTAGTTGTTACTGCTAGTATTAAGTGGAGTGGGGTTGAGCTAGCAGTGCATTTTCCGGTAATAAGTTATGCTTTTTTAAATTTATCGCCTCCATATTTTCGTTATGGGCGTCTCACCTCACCCCTCGCTCATTCACAGGCCTGGTGGCACTCGATAGCCGTGCCCAGCAAATCTGTCGGCCCCGATGACCGGTTCAGCGTACAGGAGCGCGGCCTGCACGTGCTGCGCGTGCATCCGATCACTGGCCAGGTGCAGGGCCACGCTGTCGCCTCCGGCTGGATGCTGGTGAGCGCCAGTCACGCAGTGCGCTCGCTGGTTCGCACTGCAAGAGACAAGGATGTTCTCGTCTTCTTCACTGTGGTAAGTAGTGGGCACTTAAGAGCGCTGAACGGTGCAAATGTGGTCGTTTTCTTCACTGTGTGTTTGACAGGAAGTTAGAACTGGAAATAAATATCGAACAGATGTATTCTGAAGTCGTCCGGACACACCGGATGCAGCGTAATCAAACTCATCCTTGTCTCGCCTTTGACAGGGTGAGTTCGGCCCGGGGATGCGAATTGATACCGAGCTGCAGGAGATGCTGGAGCGACTGGGGGCCGAGCACTTCACCACTCGCATGCCTCCTGACATGTACGCCATGGTGTGCGTCAAGGGCGGATCAGTGATCACCGAGGCTTATGTGGCCAACAGAGCGTCTCCGACCACAGAGGAGGACGGTCAGAGTCCGACCCCGGCCAGTCCCCTGGCCATCACCGCCCATGTGCCCGTGCCGCCGGTCAAAGGTCAGTCAGTGATGGGGGAGAGGGGCGGTACGGTCACCGGTGGGTCGCAGATTGTCTGAAAAACAGATGCGGGCTTTTGGAAGGGTTATACACCTTTTTGCATTTGAATTCAACCATTCGCCATAACTGTTTGAGGAGCCATTTCAACAATCGGCATTGAGCACAACTATTCCGGCGTGGTGTGTTTCGTTTCAGCCATTCAGCAAAACAGATTAAACACTGAAATGAGCGATCTGCAAAACAGTTTAACAATTCGCCAGACTTCGGCATAGATGGAGCCAGCTCGGCATATGACGAATAGTTTCGCCATTGACGATTTATTTTGCACAATGTTGAACCATTCGTTCAATGTCGAGTTATAGAGGAAGATCGCCGAATAGTTTTGCACAATGGTGATTCTTTGTGACCAACCGCCCATTTGTAGCGCCACCTATATGGCGAATGTGTACAAATGTTTTGCCCAATGGTCAAAAGCTAACGCAAAAAGGTGTAGTACTTACCGCAGCCCAGGGCTAGTGTCGTTAAATTGTAGAATTGACTTGTCCCTTCTCCATTGTGTTACAATATTTCGGGCAATTGGTAACATTTCAATCTGAAAAAGGACACGTAATATTGTGAAAATCGCGAGTTTGAGATACCTATTTCTTGCGTCCACCCAGGGTCCCTTTTGAGTTATTCTGTTCTGGATGCAGATGTTATTTGTCCGTGGAAGAAAACTCCAAAGAACTTGGCGCGAGCCAAATTCTGCTTCAACTATGACGGATATGGCGAGCTTTGTGACTGTAATAATCATCATCTGCTGCCCATGAAACACAGTCTGGTAAGTAAAGGTTTTTGTCAAAAACTATAGCGTTATCGTTCGGTGTCTTTCTTTCTTCATTCATACTCCGTTGCTAATTCAACAAACGAAGCAATATTCAGAAGCACATAGGTATACCCATGCATTCGTTCAGCCACTCACTTGTCGAGGACATTTCGCATCGTCTTGGTTTTGAAAAAAAAGAAACTTATTTTTAGCTATTGTCATTTCAGGCATACCGAATGAATATTGTGATGTGTATTTGGTGATTTCATCTCATATTATGACGTAGTTCTGAAAAGCAGTTATTAATTTTTGTTGCCTTCCACTTGACAAGCTCTTACATAAACTAAACTTCACAGCTGCAGGAGAACAATATCACCGATGTCCCGATAGTAATCATCGCAAGCAATCGACCACAGGTGCTCTTCAGGTTAGTGTACACGTTCCAAGCCGCGACAAAGTAAGCGTATGTCCGATTCTCATTGCGAAATGAATTAACGCATAATGACCTAGGTATCGAGTTGACGGATCAATTTTAGAAGCTGGCGACCAGCAGTGGAAATAACGAGAGTGAGCATCAAACACGTTTGTGTGCTCGGTAAGACGAGCTTTCAAATAGTCCGAGCAGGCGTAAAGTTGATTTTGAACTTGCACTATCATTGAAACGTAACGTTATGCCAACGTATGTTGATTATGTTGAAACGTCCTATGTGGCATTCAGGTGCATTAATAAATGTGGTCGACGTTTACATTGCATGTGTGCTCTTTCAGACAGATGAGCTCCTTGCTAAGGAACAGGGGCATCATTGTTTCTAACATCCTGGTGTTTGTGGATGGACTTCACCATGAAGTTGAAGAGCTTTGCTCCCTCCTGGACATCAAGTGTGTAGCACAGGTATGTCCTTTCAAGACACGCCACTGGACACGCCGATAAAGAAACTCTTGCCATGTAATTACGAGCGAGCGAGCGCAGCGAGCGAAGCGAGTCTTTTCAATATAACGGAAAAATCTCAGTATGAGCGGCCCGGCCCGGCCCGGCCCGGCCCGGCCTGTAACGCTTTTGAGAGGCTTATATCTCAGCAACCGCTGGACTGATTGGCCTGCGGTCTTTTTTGCTGGGTAGCCCCATCCCTTCTACCCCGTAATTGACTATTTTTGGTACATCTCAGTGACCGTCGTGGCACGTGCCACGTGAAAAGTCAAGGGTGTTCAAGCTGTTCTGCAAAAGTAGTGATTTTGAGAGGCTCATATCTCAGCAGCCGCTTGGGCGATTGACTTGCGGTAATTTTTATAGGGTAGCTGCATCCTTTCTACCAAAAATAGTATACTCTCGATGCATGTGGGTCACCCCCAGTGCACGTGCAAAATACAACAATAAGAGGTGTCAAATTTGTTCCCATTTTAATAGCTCGGTAATTACAGGGGCGATTTCGCTGAAACTTGGCATACAGGTAGGCACCCACCAGGCAATGCATTCCCATGGGTTGCGGTTAAGGTGCTACTGCACATGCGCACGTGCAGGGGGCGCTTCCAGATCTCGAGAACGGCTGGGCCGATTGCGCTCAAATTTGGTACACGGTTGGAGACCGGTTAGTAGGGTGCCGTGCAAAAGTCAGTTTGGACCCCGTTTGCACGTGCGCACGTGCAGAATGCCGCTTCCAGATCTCAGGAACGGCTGGGCCGATTGCGTTCAAATTTGGTACACCGCTAGCGACCGGTTAGAAGGGTGCTTTGCGCAAGCCCGTTGGAAGTACCCTCTCGCCCATCCGCACGTGCAGGGCTCACTATCTCGCTCGCTCGTTCTTCGCCCAAAAGGCGTTTTACTGGTTATATTGGTCACAATTCACAATATCCGACCGTAACTGTTTTTGCATAACAACCTTGCAGATAAACTTTCTCTTTGACATCATTCATTTCGCTCACACAATGCATCAACGTCATCACCGTGTGCCAATGCATCAGATGCCACTTTACCAGGCTGACTCATGTTGCGATGCTGTTCTGTTCATGATCTCACTGGCCGATCGTAGACAAGTGATTACGACGACACAACTCTGCGGATCCGGGAGAACTATCGTCAGGCTCTCACCAACGTGTGGCGTCACTTCCCGTCCGCCAGCCGGCTGATCGTGCTGGAGGAGGACCTGGAGGTGTCGCCAGACTTTGTCAGGTCAGTACTTCAGCCTCGAATGAGTAACTCTGTGAAAGGGTGAAGGATAATGATTACCGAACTGGAAAACCATTTAAACGAGTACCTTCAGGAACGTTTTGCGTATCAATTAAAATATATGAAGTAGCCTGGGAAGTGCGTTGTTTTTGTTGTTGTTGATATAACCGCTTTTGTTCAATTAAACATTGGATGCATGAAGTCAAAAATACTGGCATAGTTTATGGGAAGTATTGCTTACAACATCTCCCTGCTATAAATTCATTTATGAAGTAACGTCGCATTGTGATGTCTCTGGTTGCAGCTACTTCAGTCAGACGTCACACCTGCTGGACCTGGACTCGAGTCTCTGGTGCATCTCCGCCTGGAACGACAACGGCTTCGACTCGACCAGCAGCGATCCGGCCACGCTCTATCGGTAAACAACTGATGTAAACGATTCGGCTGCGCTTTATTTTATAGGTAAACAACTGATGTAAACAGCTGGTGGTGGTCAGCAAAGCAAACGTGACTGTTGTCGATATTGAATCCAATCAGTACACGGACGCCGATTGCATTGATCGTGCTCGACCTGACTTTTATTTTATTATCGTAACCGATATAACGGTATATAAAAGGCATATCTATAGCCGATATGCATATCTGTAGCTACATACATAAATAGAATTAAGCTATTTTTACGAATTACGAATTGCCACTTTCTTACCTTTAAAGAATGATTCCTAAGCACATGTGGCAAAGACAAAGTTAAAAAATGCTGCATCGAGGCCTTCTTTTCATTTGGCATGTGACTGTTGAAGGATTTAACAGTTAGTAGGTAGCTGTGGCTTCAGTGACCCGCTGATGTCTGCACTCTCAGGGTGGAATACTTCCCTGGCCTGGGCTGGATGATGACACGAAACTCCGTGCAGCAGCTCCTGGACGTCTGGCCATCTGAGAGAGAGGTGAGCCCTGCGCAAAACATACTGGGACATTTATTCGTCATGCACGATACAAGCCTGTTCCCGACGGAATGGATGTACTCGTATATTATACTATTTGTAGCTACTTTTTCTCATAAGAAAGGAATAATAATGAGAGGATGAACGAACAATGGACGAACCAGCTCATTCTTCAACCGATGTGGCATCATTGACACCTTGTTCCGTTCCTCAGGGATACGACTGGGACGTTTGGGTGCGCTGGGACTCGAACCGGCTCGAACGCGAGTGTATCATACCAGACGTGTCGAGAACATACCACTTCGGCATCTCGGGTAGCCACACGAGCAGCGCGTTCCACGCTCTCTACTACCAGGACCACACCATCAACCAGCTGCCGGACGTGCAACTGAGGAACGTCAATGGGTGAGTTGGGTGATTTCCGGAGAGGAAAGAGGCGCGAGGGTTGGAGTGGAAGGCCTAAAACGAGGAAATGTATTGGCTGCTTGCATTATTTTCTATGAAGACTCGATCAAGGGTCATGAACGGTACTATTTTTTTTTAAAGAATGAGTCGAGGAAATATGCCTTGATATGCTATACGGGCTGTAGCTTATGCGCAATGCCTGTTGCAAGATTGAGACATGACAGCATTTAATGGATCTGGTGCTCGCTGTGTTTTATCGCATTTCATGTTTTGCGTCTGGATAACATCCGTGTGCTTTTTCAGCTTACTGAAGGATGAGTATGAAAAGGAGATCCGGCAGCTGATTGCCGAGGCGGAGCCGATCAAGGCGACCGACTTCCAGTTGGGAGAGATTCCTCCCAGCCAGGGCGGCCCGTGCGAGCTGGAATTGGAGGGCACCAACAAAACATACGCGTTCTTTTTCAAAATGAAGGCCTGGGAGGACACAGACCTGTACAAAACCGTTGCCAAGGTGAGATAACGTTGGCGATGCCGTTCCGAGCGAGGCGAGTTTGACCGTCCGTTGGTCCATGGTTTATTAGTAAGAACCGTTATCGAATGTCGTCCTTGGCATGCAGTCTATAAACCGATTAGGTGCATACATTATTATGACTCTTCACAATGCACATAGCTCTCAGGCAGTGAGACAATCTAGTGTTGTTGTTGTTCCAACTTCCAGCCGTTAGCGTTACATGCTCCCATCGGTGCTTTAATCAATATGTTTTCATCTTCAATCCAGTGGCTGACATGAGTGCGAATTTCCTCAGTGTTTTACCATCTGGGATCTGGATGTACGAGGCCACCATCACGGCCTCTGGCGCTTCCACTACTACGAAAATACCGTACTGCTGTTCGCCGTCCCGCTCAACATGTACATGTGAGTCTTGTGATGTGCTGTCGGTTTTATGTTGAGCAGAGCAAAGGAAAAAGCTTTTGAACAGAATAGGTACGCTTGAGAGCGATATCTACAGTCTACACTTTGGAAAAAGCTTGGGATAGTTATAAAACGAGGTAATTCACTTTTACGTGCGGGCTTTTACGTATAAATGGGTTCATTACAGTGTCATGGGCACGATAACGGCCCCCTTGCACGATACAATACTCCTCGATACCCCGGCTCATGTCCGGGTTATCGAGTTATAACATTATGCGCGGAAAACGTAATGGCTTATTGTATTTGTATTTTTAGCAGACATGATAAGCTCCACGCATGTGTTTGTTTACAGGAATGATGTCATTCGTCTCTTCAAACATCCGGTGGATATTGTTCAGTCGCTGCAATTTGGAGAGTAAAAGGTGTTGAGCTCGGGACTATGTTTGAAAGAAACCCAATGTTGCTCGATATAGGTGAACAGATGACTGTTAACAATTACATAAATGTTAGGTGTGACAAACTTCTGGCCCGGTTTTCGACTAAAGAAGCATTTAGCCATTCATACCTTCGACGAAGTTTCGGAACAATAATTCATGCAACAAGATGAATGTAATTATTTGTTTTAGGTATACCTATATGCTACGCAACGCGCAAATTTTGCATTAGTGTTCACAGAAATAAGCATAACATTTGTTGTCGAAATTTATTTAGTCCTACCATCCACTGCAGGATCGAAGTTTGACTTACTTTCAGATTGAACGTGGTTTATTGTCATTTGAGTGTGATACATTGTAACTGAAATGCTGTTTTTGTTTGTATTTTAAGAATATTTCCGTTAGTTATTCCGTTGAGGCTTATTAGTTCCAGAGCTAGAATCGTAAGCAATATGCTTATAACAGTGCTTGTGCATGATTCTGGTTTACAAGAATAGTAGGGTAGGTACTATCCAAGTTCGTTGATCCTGAATGACCTACGAAGGCCTAAGCTGATCCAGAATAACTCCATGTACCATTATGTTATTCTGAGATCTTGTTATGGTCTTGTTGTCAGATTTATTGAAACCCTTATTATAATTTGAGTTTTGAATCTTGATTTCGCAATTTCTGACACGGTTTGCGAAACGTTAAAGGGAGTTAACTCGGATGAAATACGTTTCGTACCATTGCATTGTGGCTCTTATACGGCCTTGATTGTGGCGTGGTGCAAACGAAACGTCGCAAATCAGCAGCATTTTGACAGCTGTGCCGTGTGCGTCTCAACCGCTTATGTAATTTGTCAATAAACATACAGGAAGCTTATTTTCTTTTATTTCATTTTCAGTCCGGCAATGCACCATTATGCACTACCAAAGATAACATGAATCTAACCATGGCAAGGCTGGAGACTTTCCGTTAGCGGTTGACTCGCGGGCATCTCGTTCACTATCTTCGTTGTACGCGTGCAGCTACCCATGCCAGCTTGTATCCGGTGACTTCCCATCCGCGCTTAGATAAATCTCGGGTAGCTACATGCGTGTAACTATTTAACTATAAAAAATGAGTTTACGAAAAACGTGAAATCCCAAATAATGCATGTTTGACAAAGTATAACCACACGCTCGTGCAGGGGCTGCAGGAATCTCCTTGCCGTTTCGCCACTAATAAACACATGTTTGGGGTGTTCACACGACATGACGCACGTCAAGGACTATACACCCTGCTTTGGACAACACTTCGATGGTAACATTCACTGGATAGTTTTACCGCAGTTTTCACCACTCGAACGGTCTGAGCATGGCCTGAGCCAAGATTATTTTACTACTCTGAGCGGCTGAGCGGCTGAGCGGCACAGCTCGAACCAACTGGCACTTCGCCCTTTTCCGCCTTATCATCGAAACGAAGCGTATGTATTAGGTATGTTAGCAAAGGCCGGTAAATGAAGGGAGCCGCTGCCCCTGCCCACCCCGCACACTGCTAAGGCCCGAGGCGGCAGGCACCTTGGTATATGAAATGTAGGAGGTACGGACACATTGCTAGTTCGAAAAAAATCGCTTCTCAGATACCTACGAGTCATAGGCGTCGCCAGAGATTTTCGGTTCGGGGGCAAAATCAACTTTCGTGTTAAATCTTGCCTTTCTCCAGTCCTTACTCACTCGTTTTACATACTATTCGACGCGCAATGGTGCGAGGAATCCGATGGTGACAAAGTTTGCCTTCTAGCTATGACATATGTTTTTTACAGAAAAATTCGAAATTTTGAAATTTCTGGACAAAAACGACCGGACCGGTAGAATTACAGTGGCTGCAATTGCTGACGCACTGCAGAGGGGCCCCTGGGCAGACGCTCGTCGCTCATGATCATCACCCAGAAAAAGGTGAAAAACGGTCCGTTTAATCGGATCACCCCGCTAAAAACTCCATTCAGGCATGCATGCAGACTGCAGAGGTTTTACATGAAATGCATAGGGCTTATCCCAGCCGCCGATTGTAGCTAAGTTGGGCATTTGGCGGAGTGTGAATGTCGGAAGTGTGAATCGGAAGTAATTCATCCTTGCTCCCGTGGGGGGAAGTGTTTTGCTCCCTCGAGTGTGATCAAAAAGTTTCTCGTTTTTCGTGTGAAGGGAAGCGCTGCAAGCGCGAACAAAAATGTTTAACTGAACCAAAAGTTACGCAAGGGATCCCATAGAGATAGGCGTGGTACTTCCAGGCCATTTCATGCCACTCACGGTCAGTTTGGACTCCCAGAAGCCTGCTTAGGATCCCGGAGATCGGCGTGGGTCACCCCAAATATTTACGTGTATGTGGTGCTTTAGGGCTTTCTGACTTCTGAGCCCAAGGTGGGCCCTCAGAAGCCAGTGTAGTCGGCGGGCGCTAAGCGACTAGGCCCAGGGTGAGCCTGGAGCCCTCGGATAACAGTGTCAACCATCGGGGTCTGTGTGGAATCCCTAAGGACGCTACGTAGGGACATAAGAAACATGTGTTGCGGCCCTCAGAGGGACAAGTGAGTTGTGACCCATCAGATGCCGGCTTGGGGTTAGCAAAGTCTGTCGCCTTAGAAGTTCTGCTGAACGATCAGAGGCCAGTTAAGGTTCTCATAAATTTTCGAAGGCATCCTTAAAGATCTTAGATCTGTGTGGCCCTGCAGAGGTCTACGTATGTATAAGACCATCAAAGATCCCTGTATGGGCCCTCAGGGGACATGGACACCAGTGGGACTCTCAGAGGCCGGTTTGGGCCCTCTGAATGCTTCTTAGAGCTCAGTAGAGCTCCTTAGGAGCCTGTGTGAAAAGCAAGCTCATGAGCCCTGCGGCACTTGAACACTACTTGAGCCTGTCGCATACATTTAACGAGAGTTGAGAAAGGCCCCGAAGATTTCGTGTCACGCTTTGAACGAAAATTATGTGTCAGCACTCCAAAACTTATGAAAATCAGCTATATAATGTAACAAAGAACCAACTAGGAACAGAGAACGAATCACAGCATTGACATTTCAGGGTTTGGACTCGGAGTCTTGAAGATTTTGGCGACTGCGACTCCGACTCTGGTTTGAACTGCACGCCCCAACCGTGCCTGACCTCACAGGCATTCTCAGAAAGGTACCCCCCATTTTCCCGACTCCTAAATCTCATCGAATCTGTATCGATCTCAGGGGGTGCCCGGTCCGAGATTGGGGGGGGGGGTGGCAGGGGCGTTGTTTTGTATAGGCCTGGTAGGGCCCGAGCCCTACCAATGTTTATTTGGGCCCTACCAATGTTCGCTGAGCCCTACCAATCTTTTGTCACTTATCAGTTGGTAAAAAATAAAAATAAACAGATAAGCAAATAAACATATATGTACAGTCGTCACAGATGTATGTGGCCTGTGGGCCGTAGGAGCTGCTGTCGCGACCCCTTCGCAAGCCGGCAGGGGGTTCTTAGGGAACGGCAAGGGGTCCTCATTCCTCAGGCCGGCAAATGGTCCTCAGAGGCCGGCAGCACCTTCAGAAGTTCAGTGGGGTCCTTAGAGAACGGCACGGTACTCTCAGACTCCGGTGGGATCCTCAGATTTGCCGGTGTGGGCCACGCAAAAGTCACCGGTGGGTGTCCGTCAGATGCACATGTGTGGGGCTTTCAGAGGCGCCGGAGTGGGACCTGCACAGTCGTCGGTGAGGACCCTTTTAAGCGCCGTTTCGGGGCCCTCAGATACAAGAGATTCTCAGAGTCCGTGAAGGGCAGGCTGGTAAGGGCCCCTTGGCGACCTCTTAGGGCTCTAACTGGTGACAAGGGCCCTAACTGGTGACAAGGACTCTAAGAAGCCGGCGTGGGGCACTTACGGAGATCTTAATACGCCACTTAGGGGCCCATGAGATGCTCTGACGAGCCCTGTGGGGTCCCTTTGAGACGAAATATGGCCAGCGTGGACCCTCAGCGGGGCCCCCTGGCCCCCATCGGGCCCCCTGGACCCGATGGGAGGGGCACGTGCCCCCTGTGCCTCCCCCCCCCTTGGCTACGCCACTGGAATCTATCATGTTATCTATGACTCAAGGAAATATGAAAAATGAGCACTTTTTGTTGAAAAATGGCAAGCTCGAAAGGAGGCTTAGCGCGGAGTTTTTGGTCCCTTTATCGAAAATCTAGAAGATGTCATGCAATGAACAACTTGTTACCGTAAAGGAATTGAAGGTGTCACACGTTGACACTAAGGGACGCCGTGCCGAGTTGCGCGAGTGGAAGGCGCACACCGAGTAACGGCCACCAAATGAGTGTTACGAGTTGAAGTTAGTCGGCAAGGTGAAAGTGGCTGCATTTTGGGATCTGCTTGTCAACAATTTAAAACAGGGGCGCACAATTGATGATGTGCGTCCATTCGCTAGACATCGAGGAGAGGCTATAGGGAAGCTGACATAAAGTGTGCACCTGATCCACGACCACGCACCTGCGTACATGCGCGGGGTGACGATCAGTGAAGCGATGAAATGTGGCTTCGAGCTGTTATCGCATCCACTTTTTTCTCCAAACCCTGCACCCTCTGGTTGCCACCTCTTCCCCAGCATAAGGAAGTTAGCTGTGGCAACCTCGCTGACTGCAGGGAGACGAAAGCAGCCGTCTTGGACGTGGGATGGGTCCAAAACCCACTTGATTATGGAGACCTTGAGGGCTCTCCCGAAGCGCTGCGCGAAATGTGTTTGTCTTAACGGTGGTTATTTGAATAAATTAACTTTTTGGTCAAATAAGTCGATGCTGTATCTCTGCTTCTTCATGGTCGGGCATGTAACTTTCTGAACGCCGGCTCGTACTGTCATCCTTTTATTTTGCATCCTTTTATTTTGGCAAGCAGGTCTTTCTAACTATCGTGGTGTTTCGAGACCTCGTTAGTTGTCGAACCCTGCAATTGGCGTGGGTCTTCAAAGCCGTTCCTGGCCCCGCAGCCGTCTTTTTCATTCAGCTTGGGTCATCAAAGCCGTTCCTGGCGCCTTTCAGCACAGCCGTCCTCTTAAGTCGGCGTGGGCCTCTTTCAGAATGGCGTGCATTCTTCCGACACTATTATATCTGCCTATTTAACTGCACGTTTTGTGCATGAAGCTCGGTGATGACCTATAGACTTCCAATTTTTTTTTTTTAAAGATTTTGGGGTGTCTTGTCAATGACCAGGGCGAAAAAATAAGTGGCCGAAATCCGATGAGAAAGGCAGATTTGGGGGTACCCTACCTTGTAAGCCCCGTCAGTATATGGCCGGCCGCCGACTTTGGGCCCTACCAATCATTTTCGGAAAACGACACCCCTGCACAACTATCGGCTAATCTTGTAACTAGCGCGTTCATTGCATGTGTTATTTCGTAGCCGTCCTAGTTGACTATATCGGGCGATAAAAAGAAAAAGTGCAATTATTTTTTTCCAGAGGCGGATCCAGCTCAGAGTTTTTTTAGGGGGGGGGGGGCAAACCATAGCAATTATCGATTCTTTCCATGCCTCATCCATAGGCGTAATGTTAACCCGCGCCCTGGTGGGGTCTGTTTATAACGCGACCTGGTGGGGGGGGCTATTTTTTGCCCCCCCCTCGTATCTCCGAAACTACTGGACGGATCCGCAAAATTCAAACGGCGTTCGAAAGGCCTGTCAAATTTGTCGAAGGAAACCAAATTTCATTGACCTCGGGGTCACCGATGACGTCACAGGTCAGGTCAAAGATGAAATGTTTCACCGTTCACGGGTCTACTAGGGAATGCACTATAACACCGAGGAAAACGCATTTTGTCGAGAATCAGCGATAGGGCGTCAGTTGCCTAGTAGATATGTTGCTATTAGAGGTCACTGACAATACCAGGTCAGGTCACAGGTCAGGTCACCAAGGGTCACAGGTCAGGTCACATGAGCCCAACTTTACTAAGGTTGTGTGATGCATGTTTTATGGCCAATTTTTCATTTCCAACTCAATGGTGTTGGTTATAAGACTATCAGGTACGGCTTAGGTTACTTTCTGTTGAAGGTCAGGTCAACGTCAGGTCAAGGTCAGGCCAAAAAAGGTCAAATTTTAAAGTTGATAGTTTTGCATAAAATGGGTATTGATTCGATGCAGCTCGTCACGGGGAGTCTAATGGTGGTCTTTGTTTTGCGCTACGGGGTCTAGAACTGCTAAAAATGGAGTTTGAAAATTTGACGTCATCAATTTTGAACAGTTTTTCGCTATAACTTCGCCAAAAAAAGAGGTATCAATCTAAAATTTGGTATGTGGATGGAAGGCGGTAAGGACTATCACATATATTCCGGTTTTTGCGAAATTCAAAAACTTTTTGGATTTTTAGACTATTATATCCAAAAAATCTATTTTTTTATTTTTGGGCGTCAAAATCAAAAAATTTCAAAAATCCGAGATAGCAGTTTTGTAGCCCTGTCAATTCTACAGCTTTTATGTCCTTATCATTTTTCTTGATTTGCAAAGCTATAGGCCTGACAGCTCTTCCCGCGAAACCCTTTTTTGGGTCGAAAACGGCAGAACATGACGTCACTCTGACGTCATTTACGGCCAACCTATCATAGCTCTTGGAAAAAATTTTGGTCACAATTTGTAAAATTGATGTCCGGGAGGGTACTCAAAGTTTGGTGACGATCGGCGCAGCGGTTCTGGAGATATATCGAAAAGTCTGGAGGGGGGGGCAAAAAATAGCCCCCCCCCCCACCAGGTCGCGGGTTAATATTATGCCGTATGGGGGGGGGCAAATGCCCATTTTGCCCTCCCCCCTGGATCCGCCACTGATTTTTTCCCTTATCTTTTACGCTGATAAACAGTGTTCGGCCAATACTGGGACACCCTGTATTCCTGCTGGTCTTTCTTATGACGTCATTTCATTCGTTCTGGCTTCGTGCTATGAAAAGGTGTAGTTGATTTCAAAAACCCTTGGTGCGTATTTTTCTTTTGAGCTTCGGCCGTCTCGTCGTTTTTGTCTTTTACGCTGTCGATATAGTGCATTTCCCGCTCACATTTCTTTACCATTTTATCTTAAAATGTTTTCATTGCGTACCAGTCGCCTTATTCAGGTAAGCATTGGATTGTGCTGTAAATTGATTCATATCTTTTCCATGGACAAAGTCCTAGCTTCGTGACTGTCGACGCTTGGTACAGTTGGGGATTGATTACATAAGCCATGAAAGGCTAAAGAAAGTGGTATTGCTGTAGTGTTTTTGGTATATGTCAAGTTTAGGTCCTAACTACAATTGTGACGCTGTTGATACGAATATGAAACAGCAAAAATTTTAGGTTTTAGGTTAGGTTAGGTTGTAGGTTTGTAGGTTTTAGGTTGTAGGTAGGTAGGTTTGTAGGTTAGGTTAGGTTAGGGTAGGTTTATAGGTTGTAGGTTGGTAGGTTATAGGTAAGTAGGTAAGGTTAGGTCAGGTTTGATTATGTTTTTTCTTTTATTTGCGAGACATATGAGTATCATTTTTGGATTCAGGATGTCAAATAATGTAAAATTATGAAAAATTTATCAATGAAATCTTCTTAGGACTTATACTTGACATTTACCGTGTTTTTATCAATATCTGCACTCGCAATATTTGTTTATGATTCGCAATATGTATTTCACAAGAAACTTCCAAAATTTTCCTGCCTTGCGCCTTTGATTTGTGAAGACGTGTTAAATAAGTTACATACTGAGCATTCTAACAAATATACCATTTAAGTGTATGTGGCCATGCGTTATGAGCTAACACACAAGAAAACTGAGATTCTCGGAAGAGCTGTTGCTCAGGTTTTTAAGTTATTATTTCTGTTAAAGTGTCAATGCTATGTTACGTAACTGTCAATACGCACTGTAAAATGAGGTTACTTCTGACATATTTAAAGGTTTTTGAGCTGGGACTTTTAAATGGTTGGTGATATTTAGCTGAAATTCCAACCAAACCATGTTTCAGTGCAGGGGTACATATGTGCCCAGTTTCTTTCCTATGATGATAACATAATTTGAACATGAGACAAGCAAAGAACTGGGCCTGATTGATAAAAGTAACCCTGGGTGGGTTTTCTTTCAAAAGTGCTGATATTTTCCATAAAAATTGCACGTAGGAATCCTTATAGCACTCCTAATATCAATTTTCAAAGTTGTATGGAAATATAATCACAATATCCTATTCAAAGAGTGCCTAATGTAACACAAACAGCGTGATGCATGCTTCCCCTCACATGGCCTTAACTTGGGTTGGTGAAGATTGATCACTTTCAAGTAAACTGGTATTCAAAAATTGCTTTGATTACCACAAGAGGTTCATATAATACCTGAGTCCTGAGGGATAATGACAGATTTATTTGAAGGCTGTCCAAAGAATGATAAAAGCAGGAAAGGCTTTTAAATTGTGTCTGCTAAAATTCTGGTCATTGCTGAGAGGCAACAAGCAGTGTTAGTTTGAGCAAATAATTCCCTTAATACAACAAATCTGTTTCTGGTAGTTACATGAGCACATTTGTCTGACTTCTGGAAATACATGCCAGTTATTTGACAAAGCTAAGATTACTGCCAAGTGCTAACCACAGTCAGAAATAGGGTCAATTTTGTCCCATGGGGCAGCCATCTTGAATCAAAGCTACCTTTTTTGACAGGCTTTTGAAAATTTTCACTTAAATTTTAATTTCCCAAATTAAAAAAGAAAATGGAATACCTACATATGACCGGGTTATGTGAGCCCAACCACATTACCATTGTGCTAAAGGCCCAAAATCCTGCAGTATATCTCAAAAGTTGACCTCCAAATTGTATATTTCACCTCAATACTGTATCAAATCGAATAATTATTTTTAATTACCTCATCATTGGACTTGGCCTACGGACTGGTGAACTATACCAACTCCAGAGCACTGTGATATGCTCAGAATGATATCATTATCTCATATCCACAGACTGGCGCACTGCACTGACTCCAAAGCAGTGACTGTCATTGTCAGAGTGATAACGTTATTTCCTCCTCTCAGACTGGCGTGCTCCGCCGATTCCAGAGCTCAGACATCCATAGGGTGATAATGTTATCTCTGCTTTTCCAGACTGGCGTGCTCCGCCGATTCCAGAGCACCCTGGTGGTGGCCGAACATGCCGACAGCAAGCTGAACGCGGCCACGCTGAGTGCCGTCACGGCAGCCAAACAGGTCGGCCATGAGATCACCTGCATCGTGGCTGGAGCCGACTGTAAACAGGTGCGCTGCCCGCTGAATTTTCGGTCCTGTGACGTAATATGTGGAAAATGTGACGTCATGGACTCATGGTGGACTGGGGCAGGTAGTGAGGAGATTGAGAATGACTGGGAGGAAGCCATGTTAGCTGCAGCGTGGTTGAGCACGTTTAAGGGTGCCAGATGATTTTGCTGGAGATTAAATGTCTTCTCATAATTTTTAGCGATAATCCACGATCAGTCTCGCCCTCACCCACGTGAGACCTTTGCCCCCGTTTCCCCAGGTGGCTGCCGAGCTCTCCAAGGTGGGCGGCGTCTCCAAGCTGCTGGTGGCCGAGGACGCGGCGCTCGAGGGACTGCTCCCAGAGAGGGTGGCGCCCGTCCTGCTGGCTGCTCACAAACAGTTCAACTTCTCTCATATCATCGGTGAGTGATAACGATGCGTGTCGTACAAAAAATATGTGGATTTTGTACGTAATACATCACTGTACCGTACCCACTGTTTTCGTTGCCTTGTTGACGGCCCATAGCTGCTGTTGAAGCGGTCACTGTCCGGTCATTGAGGTCATATGTCTCTGAGGATAGGCAATACCACAACACAACACTGACCAGTCAGTGTAACTAGACCTCGTGTCTTTGATGAACCTCCTGTGTCACTTTTTTGGTTGGTATGATCAGACGCTGTCTAATTGGGTGCTTCCTTTTTCCACTGTCGACCTTGCATCTTTGAAGAGACTCCCCCTCGTGCTACTGACCGACGGATTCGCCCAGCCCCCTCTCACCGAGTCTGACCGCACCCCTCCTTCCCACAGCCGGTGCCACCGCATTCGGCAAGTCCGTGCTGCCTCGCGTGGCCGCCAAGCTGGATGTGTCGCCCATCTCAGACATCACCGGCATCCAGGCGCCCGACACCTTCGTGCGCACCATTTACGCCGGTGAGTGTTACCTGTGCTGTGACAGGGAGATGGTGGTAGTGACAGTTATGTGTGCTGTTATATAAGTCGGTGGTGAGCTGCAGCGCCACGTTGTGACCAGGGGTTTGACGTTCATCGTGTTATATAAGGCCTGACTTGAGTTGCTTTCACTGGTTGCTACAAGCTGGCGCTGTCAGACACTGCTTTGCTCTGTTTGTGATGTGGGATATTGAAGCTAGTTTTGTGTCACGTTTTGTTGATATCGGAGCATTCATTATAATCCTAGTGAGTTTTTTATTTTCTTGTGTTTAGTCTTGTTTGCAGTGTTGTGCGCCATTTTAACGTGCGTGCATGCCAATATGTCAGAATATCAGCACAGTATTTCTCAAATGTGGATCCTTGGAGTCTACTAGCTGTCTTCTGCGTATTCCACCAGTGTGTTCTGCCCACACTCACTCTGTGCGTCCCTTTTCAGGTAACGCCATCCAGACTCTGAAGGCCAAAGACGCCGTGAAGGTGTTGACTGTGCGCGGCACCAGTTTCGAGCCGGCTGAGGTCTCCGGCGGCAGCGCTGCGCCAGAACCGCTGGCTGTCGATGTTGACAAGAATTCGTCAGAGTACATCGGCCAGGAGCTGAGCAAGAGCGACAGGCCCGAGCTGACTAGCGCCTCGAATGTGGTCAGCGGAGGTGAGTTGCGGTGGGCTGGGCTCGGTGGGATGAGTGGTGGTCGGTGAGGTGGGTGGAAGAGTCAGTGGGTGGTGATTTGGGGTCAGCAGGGGTGAACTAGGGATTGTTTAGGTGAGCCAGGGGCTAGGGCTAGTAGAGTGAGCTAGGCACAGTGGAATTTGAGCGAGGACTAGTGTGAAGTTCAGTTTTTGAACTCATTGCCTAAAAAGGCTCATGATACAATATTCAGCTTGCAATGTATACCTCCCTCCGACTCACCATTTGCTCTAAGCTACTTCTCGCCCTCCCCTCTCCCCCTCAGGACGCGGCCTGAAGTCCGGCGACAACTTTGAGCTGTTGTACAAGCTGGCCGACAAGCTGAACGCGGCCGTGGGCGCCTCTCGCGCTGCCGTCGACGCCGGCTTTGTGTCCAACGACATGCAGGTCGGCCAGACGGGCAAGATCATCGCGCCGGTGAGTCGAGCGAGAATTGATGGATGGTGGGGTAGAGGGTGGGGTGTGGTCAGATTATCACTCATTGGTTGGATTTTAGCCGTTTGGTGAGATAGTGGCCCAGTTGAGTGATGGCTGGGAGAAGAAGGTAGTCTGTTTGTTGGTAGCTCTCCAGCAATATGAGCTGTATAATCTTTTTTTCATGGTTTCATCTTTTTCATGCCGGCTCATGCTATAAATTGACTTATTCTAGGTAAGAAACCTATGACCATGCGTGTACTGTTCACTAACTGTGTTGATGTGTTTGGCTTGGTGGTTGCTATCTCATCCATTCCACCTACTTTCTCGACAACAGGACCTGTACGTTGCCGTCGGTATCTCTGGCGCCATCCAGCACCTGGCAGGAATGAAGGACTCCAAGACGATCGTGGCCATCAACAAGGACGCAGAGGCGCCCATCTTCCAGGTCCGTAGCAGATTTCAGCTGGAGTCTAGACGGTATTGAACTTGTTAGCACTGCAGCAGAATGTCCCATAGTCGATGTGTGCTCCTACTATTGGTGTTAGCGGAGTTTTCCGTCATTCTGAGGACATCCATGACTGATGTTTCTTTTCACACTCTTAAAGGTCTAAGCACTTAAATCGGACGTGTCATCCATGTACTTTCTATCAGATATTTTTAGTTGACGCTGTGTCTTCCACTGCCTGCCTTCCTTAACCCGCGACCTGGTGGGGGGGGGCTATTTTTTGCCCCCCCCCCTCCAGACTTTTCGATATATCTCCAGAACCGCTGCGCCGATCGTCACCAAACTTTCAGTACCCTCCCGGACATCAATTTTACACATTGTGACCAAAAATTTTTCCAAAGGCTATGATGGGTTGGCCGGAAATGACGTCAGAGTGACGTCATGTTCTGCCGTTTTTGACCCAAAAAAGGGTTTCGCGGGAAGAGCTGTCAGGCCTATAGCTTTGCAAATACAGAAAAATGATAAAGACATAAAAGCTGTAGAATCGACAGGGCTACAAAACTGCTATCTCGGATTTTTGAAATTTTTGGATTTTGACCCCCAAAAATCAAAAAATAATTTTTTTGGATAAAATAATCGAAAAATCCAAAAAGTTTTTTGAATTTCGCAAAAACCGGAATATATGTGATAGTCCTTACCGCCTTCCATCCACATACCAAATTTGAGATTGATACCTCTTTTTTTGGCGAAGTTATAGCGAAAAAACTGTTCAAAATTGATGACGTCAAATTTTCAAACTCAATTTTTAGCAATTCTAGACCCCGTAGCGCAAAACAAAGACCACCATTAGACTCCCCGTGACGAGCTGCATCGAATCAATACCCATTTTATGCAAAACTATCAACTTTAAAATTTGACCTTTTTTGGCCTGACCTTGACCTGACCTTGACCTGAACTTCACCAGAAAGTGACCTAAGCCGTACCTGATAGTCTTATAACCAACACCATTGAGTTGGAAATGAAAAATTGACCATAAAACATGCATCACACAACCCTAGTAAAGTTGGGCTCATGTGACCTGACCTGTGACCTGACCTGGTATTGTCAGTGACCTCTAATAGCAACATATCTACTAGGCAACTGACGCCCTATCGCTGACTCTCGACAAAAAGCGTTTTCCTCGGTGTTATAGCGCATTCCCTAGAAGACCCGTGAACGGTGAAACATTTCATCTTTGACCTGACCTGTGACGTCATCGGTGACCCCGAGGTCAATGAAATTTGGTTTCCTTCGACAAATTTGACAGGCCTTTCGAACGCCGTTTGAATTTTGTGGATCCGTCCAGTAGTTTCGGAGATATGAGGGGGGGGGGCAAAAAATAGCCCCCCCACCAGGTCGCGTTATAAACAGACCCCACCAGGGCGCGGGTTAATCGTACTGTAGGTGGCGTGCATGTTCCCGGCGATGCATTCGAGTCCGTTTTCTGACCTTTCCTCCACTCACTGTTACAGGTTGCGGACCTGGGACTGGTGGCAGACCTCTTCAAGGCAGTACCGGAGATGACCGAAAAGCTGTAAAATAACGCACACGAGGACTGGTTGGTATCGTATAACGATCGTCAGTGCGCCGAACGGGAGGGGAATCATGACCCTAGTACTCGCAACCGTGTGACACTGCGCGGGACGGCCGAACAGCAGAGTGTGTTCGGTTAGACTACCGTGCGGTCCCTCGGTGAGAGTTGTGGGGAACGGCGCAGCGCCGGGGAAGGCTTGTGCCAGAGCAATGCAATAGGGCCGTCAGATGTTGATACGGAGGTTTTACAGAACGCGGGCTACTCATAAAGGCGGTAATTATATGAGAGTGGTGATATACCTCTGTAAAGTCTGTATGTTACGACTCTGGCCGTAGTGTAAATACATGTACAGGTCAGTGCGGAACTTTGGTTTGACGAAGTACGGATGTCGTGGAATGGGAGGGGAATCACAACAGTGTACCCTCCTCAACATTCACCCCTCGTGGTAACTATCGGAAGGCTGACCGCACTGCTATGCTATTTGCGTTTTTTTTTTTGCCTGAGCATTTGATCGGGGTCAAACAGCTGTCGAGCTGATGCATGGTTCACGATGAAAAAGTGATTTGAAACCATGTTCGTTCGCCTGGCGGTTGAGATCGACATGTGGGGAAATAAGTCTGTCTGCCCCACCTCACTCAATCATTTATTTCAAAAGGACGCCTGGAACATTCCCATACTTGTTAAATTTCATATCTTGAAGCAGTGGGGTTCACCTTCATTGTCCCTTAGTCGGTACTTATCCAATGGGTCGCAGACATTGTGTCATCAGTGATTGCGCATTTTCTGAACACTGATTCTGCGCTCACTGCCGCCTGGTGTCGGTAAAGTGAACCATCCGTTCGCCTATTGCCCGGTAGACTAGTCTGCTAGCTATAGTTTCACCATGTTTCACTTAGGCTTGAGTTGACCCGAAACCTTCGCATTTTTAGCGCTTTCGTTCTTCATAAAAAATGTGTTAAAAGGAAGTCAACCGACTGGTGAATACCTGGTGGCCTAAACGACACAAACACTGCATGATAAACCTGTCATGATCGCGACATGAGATGGAAATAGCACAAAAGTGGCGTTATTTTTTGGCCCTGCCGATATCCGCCGAGTGTTTGCCGAGCGAAATAATTGTCATATTTCGCCGAGGTGCATGAGCCATGAGGTGCGCTAGTTATTTTAGGAAGGATATCCTCGAATCGGTAAACGCCGAGCGTTTGGGAAGTGGATTGATTTGTGGTCACTATGATTACATGATGCATACCTACCGTAGAAATAGGGCTTCCCCAATCACTTTGATCATGCCTAGAAACCATACAATCATAGCTCGCTGTTTGTAATGTTATTGTCAGTTCTTGTGACATAGTTTGCTAATTTACTGGAGGAAAGGATCGATTTAGTTAAGACACATTTTTTCCTGCAAGTTAGTAATAAGTTGAATATGGTTAGAAAACGTAAAAATGTTTTGAATTTATTTTAATTTGTCACATAGATAAATTACTTGGTGGAACTAACCTGAAACGAGTCATGCACATCAGTACAGTATCAGCACAGTATCTCTATCAGTAAATTATATCAACTGCCTTATTTCAAAGATGTCTACCTAGACCCGGCTTAGGTATGACGTAGACATTTAGGGAAGTCAGATAAGCAACACTTTTTTCATACAGTTTTATGAACACAATCTATATTATGATTTATTCACATAAAATACAAACAAAAATAAGCATAAAACATTTTTGTGCACCCATCGGCGACCCGCCTGGCCAGGCCGGGACGGTGTCAATCCGTGACATATGCCGTCCCGGCCCCGGGGAGAGCTGTGGGATACCTCCCCTCCCCGGCTCTCCAGGCGGGCCGCAGATAGGCAACACTTGTTCAGTGCGTGTGTCGCTCAGAAAGGCCTTAGCCCATCCGCTTCTCGTATAAACTGGATTGTGACTTGAAACAACAACATTATGTAGGCTTTCAGGGATGCTGAGTTGAATTGCAGTCAGTAGTGGCACACAGGCAAGGTCGGTAACGTGCCCTTCACATGCCGTAAGACGATATGAGAACTTGTGCAGACTGGCATTTTTGGTTGGCTGGAAAGGCTGGGAGTTGGGACGGTTGATGATTCTCTGTCGACAGGTTGAATGAGCAGTTACTTCATTCTTTCATCGTTTTTGGAGTGTTGCATTTTGAGGAACCACCGAACCCACGTCATATAACTATAGGTACCGACGATCAGTTGGAACAATACATTTAGTTTATTCATTGCAGCATTCAACTCTTTATGTTGGTTCATATGAACAGCGCTGACTTTATAGCTAGAGCAGCATTGTGAATGATCTGCCGACGAGAACAGGCCAAATCCCCGATCAGAGCGGCCGACACCATATGTGCAGTGTTCGGTCCAACTCTGCCACAATAAGCCAGATGGGGGCTGGGCGCGGCCCCAACAATAATACCTCGCTCAGCTATGAATATTGATTGGAGGGACAGCGTGGCTGCGGCGTCGTAATGACTGTGAGAACGGAGCGGTGCGTGCTGCTCGCGCACGTGCGGCCCACACCCCTCCGCGCCGAGCCGCTCGTCAAATCACGGCGCCGTTTTGTCACGGATACACACGGTCATAGATAGCCGAGGTAGTAACCGGGGCGGTCAGCCACTCGGCAATTTGCAGATGGAAGGCTTAGTAACTTTGCTGTATTTTTCCCATGGAAGGACAGCACACTGCCATTTTAACAAATATATTCAGAAAACAATCAAAGCCTGTACACAATTATTCGGTATTCCTTAGTTTTTATAAATTTATCAGGAGCTCTCCCATGGATGTCCAGTTCTCCGTCGAAATTCAGCCAGTTGCAGTGGCTTGAGTGTGATAAATATCCGTCGTCAATGCATCACTCCGGATATAAAAGATAGACAGATCGCATCCCCCGTCACACGGCCCGTGGTGTCGTTGTCCCGGATAGATCCCAGCCCACTGACACAGCCCATGCCCTCCCTCCCCCGCCCCTCCCCCCGCCACCCACCATATCCCACAGACACAGCCCATGGAACCCTGTCTCCCCCTCCCCTCCCCCCGGATAGATCACAGCCCACTGACGCGACCCAGTATGTCCTACCCCCGTCCCCTCCCCCCGGATAGATCACAGCCCCCTGACGCGACCCGCGGTGCGCCGTCACACCTGTCAGTCTGCTCAGCGCCGACCCGTCGGTACCGACGCGCCGAGCCGTCGGTGCCGACGGTCGGCTCGGTCGGAGACTGGGAACCGTCAGCTGAGCGGGCGGCCGGCGGCGGGGAGCGCCCTCTCACTCACAGAGCTGTGATTCAGCGGCGGTGTCCTGAACAAACAGCTCGCCGAGTGGCCGCCGGCCTGAATCGGAGCCGTCCCCGGCTCAATGTGCCCGCGCCGTGATAATGGCTGCCAGGAGCCCCGCGGCGCACCCGGGGGTGACGCCAGAGGTGTCCGAGTGCGCTGGAGTGGAGTGGAGTGGAGTGGAGAGTGGAGTGTAGTGGAGTGGAGTGGGGTGGGGTGGTGTGGAAGGGCCGGCCGGGCGGCGTCCACGCCGATCATGAATACACCTGACGGTTGAGGGAACATGAACTTGAACATTGACCATGCATAGGACGGGCCTTTGCCGTTGAACTGAAAAGGACTGCTCTTATATTGCTGTGATTAGGATGCGAGATGATTAAATTTACTGGCGACGTTAACCCTCGCACGACCAGGCCATTTCTCATAACACGAACGACCAGGGGGGGGGGGGGGTTGTTACGACCCCCCCTGGCGTTTCGAAACGGAAGGTCGTAGAGCTTAGCGGAAAAACCAACGGATTGCTCTCAACGAGATCTCGCGATTGGTGGTATATTTTTTGGTCCTAGGTCAACATTTGACCTACTTATGACCGGTCAAAGGTCAAATTTTCCGAAAAAATCAAACTTTTTCAACTTTCCGCGGCGATTGCGGCAAAACGGTAAGAGATATCGACTTGAAACCTTCACTATCGTGTTCCTTGATCAATTCTCTATCGTTTGGTATGTATTTCGTTTCCCTAGCTCTAAAAATGGCGCGTTGGGAGCGCCGGAAGTCGGCAAGGTCACAGTCGGCGGCAGAAATTCGAAAAATCAAAATTTAAATTTTTGAAATCTGATTGTATTTTTGGATTTGGGAGGTCCATTTGCTCCCTATAGAAGCTAATATTGCTGCATATTCCCATTGAGGTGACAAGAATTAGCAAAATAGTGGTTCGGGCGCTTTTCAAAAATAGTACCGGACGCTGTTCCTCTTGTGACGTCATAGCTCCGTGACCTGACCTGACCCGGTCAATTTTCTTGCACCACACGATAGCCAATGCTTGTCCCAACATGCATGGGAAGTTTCATCATGATCCATCAAACAATGTGGGTATCACCGGCAGAAAACCTAGGGATTCGGCGCACACGTTTGGTAACTGTCGGCCGGAGGCTGTACCTCTTATGACGTCATAACTCCGTGACCTGACATGACCCGATCAATTTTTTTCGGCAAAAGATGCGCAAAGGTTGCCCCAGAGGATATTGAAAATTTCAGCCCGCTACGACAAGCCGTTTAGCGTGCACTTCGAAAAAACCTCAGGGGGGGGGGGGTTGATACAACCCCCCCCCCCCTAGGCGTTCTAGGGTTAAGACTGGAGCATTGAAGCATCGCTCATAAAACACTCCACAAGGGTTTGCCGTAATTGGATGACGGAATGGCTGAAATAAAGTGAGCCCGGACGATTTCTCGCGCTCATTTAGTTGCCCTAACATCATTACCCATTTTATGACACTAAGCTTATACTTAGGCGAGTGTTAATTGATTATCAGTGTCATTTTTAGAGTCTCGTGTGACCTCAACTGCACAGTGTCACACTCTTTTGGTGCGTCGCATTGTATACCTTCTAAAACTGAAGCTGAATAAAACGGAGCGCGCCTTACCACCTGTGCGTTTTTTTTTTTGCGTTTGTGTGCAGGTGCACAAACAACTTGTCTCCTCGTGTGTCACCTTCTTCGGTACCCTGGGGTTGTCAATTAGCATCCTGCTGGGACAGCTCAGTGTTCGGTGGGGACAGAGAGGCGCCGCAGGCAGGGTCGCGGAGGTGAGGGTGCACCTGGGGTGGGGGCACGAAGGTGGGGGCACGGAGGTGGGGGCACGGAGGTGGGCTCCATCCCGTGGGTATGGGAGGGCGGGCTGAGGTAAGGACGGCAAGCATGCTTCTGTCGCTCTGCCTGAGTGCCGTTACTCGTATGCTGAGCCAGACTGGGTGCGCGCATGGAGGCTACATTTGCACGTGCGAGCAAACGTAATTTCAGGACCTTCAACTCCAGGTCGCATCTGTTGGGTTGTTTTGGCTAACTTAATCCCTAC